CAGGACAGGTTACATTTATCCTTGCTCACTCCAAGATTCTGTGACACAAACATTGGTTCAGTCAAAAGGGTTTCAGAATGCTCCGTTGTTTGTGTGGGGGAAGAGCCTCACTCACAAGTACAGTTTTCTTTTATTTGCAAATAATTCTTGTATCCATTAGGCCTTTTGATCACCACGTTATGTAGGGACAACATGTGAGCTATTTCCACTTTAGGGCATGAGAACGTGAGTTCATAAAGGACAGAGGGCTTGCTAGAGAGCTGCTGTCTTCCCGATCGATCCCTGTCTTCCTTGTAGACACATGTGATGCTGTGTGCAATTGTCAACTGGACACTGGTCCTGGTATTTCTCCTCTAAGCCTTCCTCTCATCCCCCAATGCCACCCCCTTTTCCTAGGACTTCATCCATCCTTTAGCTCCCAGTACCTTCTCTACTTTTGCTCCCCCAAGGGTCCCCTATATTGGGGGATTTTTCTTCTCTTGGCAGCCCTTTCTGAATCTCATTCCTTCAAGGCTCTGCTAATCTGATAGACCAAATCATTTCAGGATGTTAAGGTCTAAAAATAACTTTATTCGTGTCCCCCCCCTTGAACATTATTTACATTATAATTAAAGCCTTCATTATCTTACTGTAGAGGAAGCAGTCTAGGGAAAGTTCAGAAAGGGCAAAGAAGAAAAAGATCTGGAAGGAACAGAGAAGGGTTTTTTTAGGTGTTTTTTTTTTTTTTTGTTATCTGTCATTCTTAATTTGTCACTTTTTTTCATGATTGTCTTCATTATAATTGTATTCATATGAAGCTGCATTCCAAGGTCAATGATGCAGTCCAGAACATTCCAAGAGATTATGATATATATATATATAGCCAGTGATGTGGGTTGACCTCTTCCATGTGTTCCACTTTTTGAGGGTACCTAGATAATGTCACAGGAAACAAGGCAATGGCATGGTGGGGAAACTGACTTCCCTGTTGATGGAAGGAGCAGGAGGTCCCCTTGCAAGGTGCAAGCAAATGAGATGAGAGAATTTTGTGGCCATTTTGTAATGTGCTGGCTGGGACTGCAGGAGCAGAGTTGTCTTGCCTAAAAACTGGACTTGGCCAGGAGAAGGTTCACAGTGGGTCTTCTCTCCAAGGGCACCTTAAAGGAGGCAGACATACTCCATGACTGCCACCGACACCCAACACTCTGACTGTGCAGGGTGCTTCCCCCCTCATTACAAATGAATGCCTGCAGTCCTCCTCTGCAATCCAGCTATGTGTTCATGAGAGCACAGCCCCCAATTCGGTTATGTAACATTGTGTAAGCTGGCTCTGCTATCACCTAGGCAAAAGAACTGCCCAGTTTCACCACTGTACAGCTTTTTAAAATTTTTCTTTAAAAATCATTTCGTGTGTGTGTGTATGTTGATGTGAAGGTATATGTACATCTGTAGAGGTGCCCTAGAGGCCAGAGGCGGGTATCACATCCCCTGGAATTGAAGTTACAGATGGTTATAAAGTACCTGACATGGGCACTGGGAACCAAATTCAGGTCCTCTATAAGAACAACAGGAACTCTTAACCATTGAGCCATCTCTTTGGCTGCCTAAGATTTTATTGGATTTATTTCTTGTGTTGGGGAAGCACATGCCACTGTGCATGTGTGGAGAGGTAGAAGATAACTTATGTAAGTCAGTTCTTTTCCTTTATCACGTGGGGCACAGGGGTTGAACTCCGGTTTGTTCACCTTGGCCGCAAGTGGCTTTATCGGCTGCTCCATCTTGCCAGGCCCTGTACCAACCTCTTAATCATTCTTTCTGCTTTTACCTTTGAATCTGCTTCCCGTCAATTTATTCTCCCCTTGGCACACTGACCGTGCAACATAGTAGAAATCATATTATTCAACTCAGAGCCTTCAAGGTTCCCTAGTTCACGCTGTGCAAAAGCCAAAGCTCTAACTGTATCCTATAAGACCTGGCGAGATGGGACCCTCCCCCTCCCTTACCTGTCTCTGTTCTCACTGCTTGCCATCACCTCACACAGACATCCCTGTGGCTTCTTTTTTTTTTCCTCTTCAGCAGCTTCCCAATGCCAGTGTTCCATTCTCAGTGAGGCCAGTCCTGATATGTTCTTCCCCTCCTCTCCTTGCCTCCCCTTCCTCCCCACCTCCCCTCATCCTCTCTCCCTCCTCTGCTGCTTTAATTTGTTTTGTTACCTACTTGTACCACCCCCACTGAGATTCAGGCTCCAAGGGAGCTGGGATGGGTTTGTTTGGTTCTTGGTACCATAGTGGCTGCACAGTGGGTACTCAATACATTCGCCAAATAAATGGAGATAAATGCCATTATTAATGATATTGACTCAGGGCACAATTGTCTAAATTAACTCATAGGATTTTCATGACCTATCTACTGGGTGTTTTATCTTTTTAAAAAAAAATATTGAATAAACTGAGTCTCAGAGAAGTTAGGCAGTTATTCAAACACAGTCCTTAAATGTTCCAACACCACTCTCACCCTGCTTCTACTGCTGCCGTGGTGCATTCCTTGGGACTTTTCCCTTTCATGCCTTTGAGACCATCCATATTGGTCTGGTTTATCTCTGGCACCCCTCACCGAATATGAGAATCTATGTTACATGGAGTTCTTGCTGCATACACTTTTGTACAGTAATGCTTTTCAGTTGCTTTGAAAGTGAGTCTGTGATGAAGACTATAAGTTTACCACATGCCCAACTTGTTTCTAATAATTTTCCCCAAGATATGGACCTTTCTCCATTAAAACAATGAAAACGATCTTCTGCAGACTACAGGATGAGGCTAGCCCCCTTCCCTTGAGGGTTTGTTTCAAAGCCAATTCATTTTTTTTTTCATTTAGAGCATTTTTTAAAACTTTAATTATAGTGCCAATGGGTTCTAAATCCCATGTTTAAAATGAAATATGACATTGAGCTAGTTTTGAAATATCAGTGTGTTTTGTTCCGCCTTGCAGAACCTATGCTTGTCATTAATTCATGGAAAGGATACCAGAGGATCCTTCAAAGTCATGATGGTAGTGGTCACACTTTTGAGTCTTCCCAATTCATAGGTATAAAATCCCTTACCAAATAGTTTTTATGAAGCTGCAGCATCTAACAATATATTTTATTTTTAAGTTGTTTTTTGAGACAAAGTCCCATGTAAGTTAGGCTGGCCTCAAATGCAGTAAGTAGCTAGGAAGTCCCTGAATTTCTGATCCTCCTACCTCAGTATCTTGAGGGCTGGAACTGCAAGCATATGTCACTCCACCCGATTTATTCAATCTTGGAGCTTCGTGCATGTTAGGCAAGCACGCTACCACCTGAGCCACAGCTCCAAACAATATTTGCTATTGGGCCGGGCGATGGTGGCACACACCTTTAATCCCAGCACTCTTGAGGCAGAGGCAGGCGGATCTCTGTGAGTTCGAGACCAGCCTGGTCTACAGAGCTAGTTCCAGGACAGGCTCCAAAGCCACAGAGAAACCCTGTCTCGAAAAACCAAAAAAAAAAAAAAAAATTTGCTATTGATTTAGTGACTACAGGGTCATACTCAGTAGCCCTTACTGACCTCACACCTGCAGCAAATCCTGGCTAACTAAGAGGGATTTGTTTAAAGTTAGATTTGATGCCACAGGCCTATAATCTCACCGGGGAGACTGAAGCAAGAGAATTGTGAGTTCAAGGCTAGCCTGGGCAACACAGTAAGACCCTGTCTCAAAACACCAGAAGGAAAACAAATTAACCGCACTAAACTGATTTTTTAAAACTTTTAAATTTGACCCTTTCTTTTCCATTTGTCAGCCCGAAATGTTTGAAGACAAACCTGTCCTGTGTCCAAGTTCAGCACCCCATGTTCCCACATTTGTCCCTTACCAGGTCTTGTTGATGGGCCTTCCTGACCACCTTTGGGTGTGCACACATGAACTGCCCCCTTTTGTTGAACGTGAGATGCCGAACGGATCACAGCATCCGCGTTTGTTCTGAACACTGCAGAACTACCCCTACTTCCCTCTGCACACTGTGCATCTGCTAATGCATCCCACACTTGTTCTTGCTCCACTGGCATCTGTGTCCCGATTTTGATTAGTTCTGAATTTGCAATCTGACATAGTCACCTTCTTTCTTTGGACTTGGAGTTTCTAGAGGGCGGGAACCAAAAGTCCAAACCTCCATGTGGTGTACAAGGTGGTGTTTGATCACCTGACCCCTTGAATTCTGTCTCTCTCCTCTGCACAGAGCTTTGCTCCAGACTGAGTGGTCCATTCACCATACTTCTGCTGATGCTGCACCATTTTTCATGGGTCCCCAAACTCAGATTCCCTCTCCGCTTGACGTTAGAGTCCTCAGTATATTACATCACAAAGTGCATGCAGGTCTTTTCAGCGTGGGTCCTATCTACCTTTCTATTTCATGGCCCACCAGTCCTCTCTCCTCTTCTCCTCAGTCCAAGCACAAGTAACTGATTGCCCCTCTGTGGACCTGGGCACATTACCAACATGACCTCTTGTGTGTTCGGGTTGAATCACCACACTAAATGTATTCTTTGCTAGGTTACAGATGCATGGAGAGCATGGCCAGTGTTTTGTTCTTTCTTGAGTCTCTAATCTAGCATCAGACCCGACAAAAAATGGATTTTCATGACTGCTGGATGAATGGTCAAGTGGATGGACAGCTGACGGATGGTAGCATGGTCTGTCTCCTCCTAGACTCCAAGGCTTTGAGGTTAGACTCAAGTCCATCCTGTTCTGCATCTTCATGGCTTCCAAAACCTTCCAGTCAAGATCCATCTCTGCACCATCTTAATGGAGACCCATTCTGCTCATGCGCACTCAAGGAGGCCCAGCAACAGATGCACACGTGGATCTTGTTATTTTCAAGCGTGTCTCATGATTCTTTCTTCTCTGTCTTTCCTCCCTCCCTCCTCATTCCCCCATGCCCACTCTGATTGTCCCCTTCTTGTCACCCATCCTCTCTCCAGTCAGAGTCTGCTTCCCTGTGTGTGTGGAAGTACCCTCGGAGACGGATGCCGTGCAGGGCAATCCCATGAAGCTGCGCTGCATCTCCTGCATGAAGAGGGAGGAGGTGGAGGCCACCACTGTGGTGGAATGGTTCTACAGGCCTGAGGGCGGTAAAGATTTCCTTGTATGTCAGACTGCTGCCTCTGGTCTTTTGTTTGCTGGTCTATGCTGTTGTATGCCTGGCTCCCGACAGCCTGGGAGATGATGCCTTGACATGACATTCCCTCCTCTCCTGAGCACTGACATCACCTCAGCAGATAACTGACAGCCTTAGAGTCGCCCAGGGTCTTTGCAAAGCAGGTACTCGGCCAGCTGTAAGCAATCCTGGTTACAAGCAGGAGAAGGGGGTACAAAGAGGTAAATGTGTTGATAGAGCCTGTGTGGGTTAGGCACCCTAGTAGACGTCTTACAGGTGTGTTCATCTTTTTTTTTTTTTTTTTTTTTTTTTTTTTTTTTTTTTTTTTTTTTTTTTTTTTTTTTTTTTTTTTTTTTTTTGGTTTTTCGAGACAGGGTTTCTCTGTGGTTTTGGAGCCTGTCCTGGAACTAGCTCTTGTAGACCAGGCTGGTCTCGAACTCACAGAGATCCGCCTGCCTCTGCCTCGCCTCCTGAGTGCTGGGATTAAAGGCGTGCGCCACCACCGCCCGGCTAGGTGTGTTCATCTTTCATGCAGTCCTCTGAAATGGACTTAATGAAGTTGAAAGAAAGAAAGCAAGGTAGCTTTATGTGAAGTAGCATGGGTAGCTCTTCCAAGTATCACAGTCCCAGTGAAGTAGGAACAATGAGATGACCAGAGCTTGTATAAACTGATATGCCCAGGAGAGCCACCTCTGTGGGTCAACTGTTTAGTCAGTTCTTGACACAAGCTGTACCCCAGGTGGTCATGCTGCCATTCTGCCCAAGTGCAACCCTAAACCTCAATGGTCTGTATACCAAGGGTTTCACTCCTAGCAGGGTAAGAAGCCCTCCAGACTGTGTGCCAGGGTCAGAGTCCATGTCAGTTCTGGTGTGGGTCAACGCTCAAGGGATTGTGGTTCATTCAAATCAGTGTCCATATTTTCATTGACTCTGGAGTCAGGCTGCCTGGCTTTGGTTCTTTTCTTCATGCTAGTTGGCTCCATACGCTTAAACATAGTCAACCTCTTGATCCCTCCAATTATTTTGTCCTTTTAAGTGGGAATAAAAACAAAAGCTTCATGATGGGGTTGTTACCAGGCAGGACATGTGAGCTTTGATTTTTTTTTTAATTCATTTTAAATGTCTTTGAAATATGGTGTGTTTGTTGGGGAAAGTGAAGAGCAAAAGAATAACATTAACTTAGTAAAGGAGTTTAGATTTAAACACACACACAAGTTTAGATCTGTATATGGTGGTCTGACAGCAGACCCAAGGCTCTCTCTGGAGCTCTCCCTTGCTCTCCTGGGTCTCTTCACCTACTGGAGACAACAACATGGTAACATTGACTTTCACTTGCTCATTCTCCCCCACCCCCCAAGTGGATTCATTTCTGATTCTAGGTAGTACGTGGTATTTGAATCTAGGTCTGTGCCAAGGCAAGGACCAGCAGCGAGTTTTTAGAGTCTAACTTAAGCTTGAGTCATACACCACGGAGGTATTCTCAGATTTAGTGCCCAGTTCTAGGAAGCCAGAGGTCTTGGCTGGATTGGAAGGGCTGGCCCATGGGTTTCAGGCCTTGTCACAGGCTAGCTGCGTTCGCTGCTGGTATACTTGTCCCATACCACAAGGTGCAGCTGAGGCACTAAATGTTAATGTCTAGGAACATGAGTGTGAGTTTTAGTCCACACCCACGCTTAGTGGAGCCTAGATGGAAAAAGTGTCATGTCAGAGTGGAAGTGTCTGAGAAAGAAGTCGGAAAGAGCTGACTTTGGTTCTATTTTGGCCCAAAGCAAAAGCTCTACGCGTCTCTCTGTTGTTGAGTTCTCTGCTCACTGGCCTTCCTCCCACATTCTGGATTCCTGTATTTGTCCTGGCCACAACCACCATGATGGATGCCAGGTCAGAGCGTCAGGCATTAAGCTCAGGGCTGTCAGGTATCACCTCTGCTCACAGCTGCTTTGTTGGCCTCTATATCCTCTCCGTCGCTGGCCGCCTCATCACCTCCCTCCCTCTCCTTCCTTACCCCCTTTCTGTCTCCATCCCTTCCTTTTCCTGTTACTAGTCTCTTTCACGGATCAGCCACCCTTCTTTCTTCTCCACTCTGCTCCTTTTTGTTCACCCAGGATTCTTTCTCACTACTCCATGCTGCCTCTCCCCTCACCATGTCCACATGTCCAGACATCTGTCTGCCTCTACCTGCTTTCCCGTCTTCGCTCTCTCCCATGGCTTCCTCTGTGCCTCTTCATCCCACCCCCACCCCATGCTCTGGGTCTTCTGGTAACCTTGTCCCTTGTCCCGTGGAAACTCCTGCTCTTCCTTCCTCCCTGTCTCTTTGGCCACCATCTGCTTCCGCTCCTCTCTCTGCAGATATACGAGTATCGCAATGGCCACCAGGAGGTGGAGAGCCCCTTCCAAGGTCGCTTGCAGTGGAACGGGAGCAAAGACCTGCAGGACGTGTCCATCACTGTGCTCAATGTCACGCTGAACGACTCTGGCCTCTACACATGCAACGTGTCCAGGGAGTTTGAATTTGAGGCACACAGGCCCTTCGTGAAGACCACAAGACTAATACCCTTGAGAGTCACTGAAGAGGGTAAGACTGGGGCCCAGAGTCTCTTCATGGGTTGGGGTGGAGGACAGTGGCTTTCCACACATGTGATACGCAGATCTGCCTTCCTTGCAGGGCCCACTTCCTACAACCTGCCTCGTCAGAAGCCCTTGCTGTGGCTTCCCTCAGAGCAGACAAGATATTAGGATATTAGGATAACTTCCCTGGTTCCCTAGAGGAAAAGGACAGCCCCCAGAAGGCCTCCAGCTAACAATTCAGGCATGCCTTTTTCTCTGGCCAGTGTTGAGTCCCTAATTTATATGTAAACGTCATCTCTTCTATTGCGAGCCACATATATCTCCAAACAAATCGCTTTCAAAATTTAGTGAGCCTCAAGTCTCCTCAGAGTCTTAAATTTTTAAATTTCCATTTATTTGTGCTCTCTCTCTCTTTCCTCTCTCTCTGTGTCTGTCTGTATGTCTGCCTTTCTGCATGCACACACACGTGCCATGGTGTATGAGGAGTTCAGGGGACAGCTCATGGGTGTTGGTTCTGTTCTCCTACTATGTGGTAATAGCATTGAACTCAGTTCATCAGGCTTGGTGGCAGGCCCCTTTACCTGACCATCCCTCTTGCTGGCCCTCCCCCATCTATAGTATCTCTCTCTACAGGTGTCTGTCTTCAGCTAGAAATGGGAACAAGTTGCTAGCTCTCTAGTCTTTAAAGTCAACAGACTCTTTGCATTTGTTGGTGGCAGGTGGAAAATTCTGTCAATAACCTAACTTGTATATTGCATTCCCGCGCAATCTGAATCCAGAATCGTGGAGGGACCGCACAAAGTGCTCCTCCACCACTATCAGGAGACTCAAAGAACTGTGGCTCACAGCCCTGGCAAACACTCCTTCCCAAGGCAGAATGTGATCCCTGCACCTCCTTTCGTGTTTCCTCACCAGGGCTAGGCCGCCATGCCATTCTCAGAACCTCTCACACAGTTATATTTCCAGCATGTTCTTATCGCTGCCCTAAGATACAGGCTGGTGAGCAGGCGGTGGTGCAGGCTGTGGAGAGAGAAGACGGGTATAGACAGAGCGTGCCCTAAGCAAGGGAGTGGAGGATTCACAGCCTCCAGGCCACTGGCCAGCTTGAAAATAAAAGGTATCATTGTTACAAAATCGAGGCAGTGACAGTTGCTGGGTCTTGAGGGTGAATGACAATGAGACCCTGTAACTAACTCTACGGAAGGGAGGTCTGGTTCTCAACGTGTAGCAGGCTCAGGCCACCTGAATGAAAACTTGCTCATCCACTCTCAGTGCTTGTGTCCTCTGGTGAGGAAACAGGGGGGGGGGGGCGTTGAACAGGAAGCTCTCTGAGGTAAAAATCTGTTCAAAGTTCCATTACCCTCATTTGTTTATGCAATCTCGCCTCCCGGGGGAAGGGAGCCTGGTGCCATCTTGTGTTCACCCCGGGAACTGTTGACTGGTGCCTGCTGGCTCATTGGCAGGTTCCTGTGGGTCTCTATCTCCTGCTCTCTCTTGCTCTGGCCTCCAGAGATGTGGGGGACACACCCATGGGAAAGTGTGGCACCACTGTGCTAGCCTGCCTGTTTGTCACCAGAGCAATCCTCGGATAAGAACAAGGGGGGAAAAAAAAACAAATTCATAATTAGAGCAACAGAGCCACACAGGCGGTAGGACTGGGAAGGAGTTTGCATAGTATTTAATGCAGGCGCCCTTGTGGGTATGACTTCAGGAGCGGTGATCTGTGTTCCTATGGCCCCCTCGGGCACATGGAGGCTACAGGTGTGGCGGGAGTGCTCTGAGGAGCAAAGGGCTTGCTTAGGAACATGAAGCGCCATGAGAGCGGGGACCAACATCCACTATCAAGTTAACCCCCCAACTGCATCTTTCTTTCTTCTGCCCTCCCTGCCCCATGACACTTTTTCTCTGGGTTTGGATTTTGCCTCTGGAACCCCTTGGCAGCCCTCCCCACCCTCAGATCACTCACAGGTACATGACAGATGTCTGTTTGCCCCGCTCCTGGAGCCCCAGGGAATCTGCCTGGTTCTCCTTGTTGACTTTTTCCAGGCTTAGTCTCTCTGTTCTCATTCTAAGACAGGAAGCAGTGGCCTCTTCTCCTACAGGCGACAGAAATACAGATGGAACCTTCTTGTTACTACCTCGGAGCTTTGGCACCAAAATAGAAATAGCACACTTTATGGCAAGCCTATCACACACATTCACTAGGTCCTAGCAAGCCCCGCAGAAAAGACAGGTGAGGGACATGTTCATGCTCCTATGCTCCCAGCTTCACCCATGACCTCCAGCTCTAACAGGAGAAAGAGAGCTGAAGGGCTAAGTACCTAGATTTGAGAAACAGGCTCACACTTCAAAAACACATTCTTGCGGTCCGTAGAAAGGATGCACAGCACAGTGCCTCCCGGGAGTGATCTTACGGGCTGGGGGAAACTGTGCATGGATGGATCAATGCTACCCAAGATCCCAGGAGAAGTTCCCCCCGCAAGGGGCTTTCAGCAGAATCTAGGGTCCTTCTCAGAAGGCTGAAAAGCAGGACGTGGTCCCAGGATAGAGGAGGCAAGAGATCAAACCAGAGAGTCGAGAATACCAATACATAAGAGAGGTTACAGCAAGACGAATGGAAGGGAAGTGAGAAAGGATGGACCACAAAAGGCGTACATATCCTGTCACTAGAGACGGGCTTTATCCTGGCGTGCAAGAGAGCACTGGAGGATTTTAAACGGGAGATGGAAGAAGGCATGTGCTTCAGGAGCCGGCCTGAGGAGAGTCCTCGTAAGTTTCCTGAACCCTCCAGTACTCACTTCTCTTGAGGTTTGGCACAACCTGGAAGGCCCTCATTTCTCCTTCCAGACCCATGGAGAACATGCTTCTATCACTGACGATGGTAGCCCTAAATGATCCTTCTCTCTGGGGATACCACCTCTACTACCTGTGGCTCGGAGGTCCAAGGTGGCTAGAATAAGGCATGTTCCTTATATCTGTGTGAAGCTTCACATCTGACAAGACAGCGGGGCCATTTTGATGTTGTGTTTGTTTGTTGCCTAGTGCTGGGGTATGAGGTAAGCGCCTTGCAATTGGGCTGTCCCTGAGTTCATCACCCTCAAATACACTGAGTAATGTAACATTCGCAACAATCCAGAGTACCGTGAATTATTATCCTCATTTCACAGGTTAAGAAACTGAAACTCAAAAGAAATGAGTATTACACAGTAGATAGTATATCATGAATGCAATACTCTGTGTGTGTGTGTGTATCTGCAATCATTCTGACTCTGTCATTCCTTCTTTCACTTGTCATTCCCCTCATCCTTATATCTAGAAAAGCTGAACAGTCAAGTGAGAAATCTGATAGGGAGTCAGGCAATGGGGATCCCTTTGATATCCTCATAAGCTCCTCTAGACTCGGCGTTTATTTGAGACTTACACAGGCTTCGTATATCTGTGAGCCCAGCGACAGCTCTGGGACCTGTGAGACACGTGTGTTCTGAACCCCATTCTCCTCCTTGCAGCGGGAGAAGACTTCACCTCCGTGGTCTCAGAAATCATGATGTACATCCTCCTGGTCTTCCTCACCTTGTGGCTGTTCATTGAGATGATCTACTGCTACAGAAAGGTCTCCAAGGCTGAAGAGGCAGCCCAGGAAAACGCGTAAGTACTGAATGACAGCTCACACACTCGGAACGTGTGTTCTCACATACCTGTCTACATTCCTCTTAACAACAATAAGAACTAATAAGAACTCTCCCAGAGCCAGAACCAGGTGGTAGTGGCACACGCCTTTAATCCCAACATTTGGGAGGCAGAGGCAGGTAGGTTCAAGGCCAGAATGGTTTACAAAGAGTTTCCAGGTCTATAGAGTCCCGGGACAGCCAGGGCTGTTATGCAGAAAAACCCTTTCTCAACGACTCCCTCCCCCCGCAAATAAAAATATCTAAAAAGAATACATCATTATATATTGTACAGATAAAAATAGTAAGCCTAGAAGAGGTTCTGGGAAGGCCATTGTAAGTCATAGACTGTCTTAGTTAGTATTGCTGTAGTAATAAAAATAACAAAAAACGACTGGGGGCAGGGAGGGTTCACTTCGTTTATACTTCCACATCAGTGTCCATCCTCAAGATGCTAGAACAGGAGCCTAGAAGCAGGAACCAAAGCAGAGACCATGGAGGAAATTCTTACCAGCTTCTCCTCATAGCTTATTCAGGACCACCTACGCAGGGCTGCCACCACCCACAGTGAGCTGGGCCTTCCCACAGCAATCATCCATCAAGAAAATGCCCCACAGGCTTGTCCACAAACCAGTTTGGTAGCGGCATTTGTTTTTCAACTGAGGTTACCTTTCCTAGCTTGTGTTGAGCTGACGAAACACTAGCCAGCACAGAGACAAATCAAGATTTGAATTTAGGCCAGCTGTCTCTTGGCCTACACCTTAAACCACTATGTATGGAAAAGACAAGCAGCTGCCAAAGCAATCTCATAAGGTTATGTGTGATCATAACCAGTTGGTAAATGGTGAGCTGAGGCTGCCTCACAGAAGGCAAGCACATTGCCGCGGTGAATGGAGAAGCCGTGAATCGAACCCAGGCCTTTTATTCTTGATATCTATGCTCTTTCTATCACATTCAGCTGTTTCCTTGCTGCATTGGGAGCGTGTCCCCCTGGGCACTGCCCCGCATTAGCTAAGGAGTGCCACAAAACACGCTCTTTCCTTTGAGGTTGATAGCAAGCGAATACCTCAAGCAGGGAATCTAATCCCCTAGTATTTGGCCTCTACTCCCCACTTTCACCAAATACCCACACTCAAGACTGAGTACATGTGAGGGCTGCTGGAGTCTGTAAAGACAAGGGGCTAAGAAACGCTATTGGCCTATTGTTTGGAAAAGAAAATGGAGGTATGTAAAAAAAAAAAATAAAGTCCACAGACATCCAGACACTGCTGAGGCAGTAACTAAAATGCCTAGTCCATTACTGCCTAGAATTTTTGTTTGTTTGTTTTCATTTTGTTTTTCAAGACAGGGTTTCTCTGTGGCTTTGGAGTCCGTCCTAGAACTAGCTCTTGTAGATCAGGCTGGTCTCGAACTCACAGAGATCCGCCTGCCTCTGCCTTCCAAGTGCTAGAACTAAAGGACATGCACCACCAACAACCGGCTATTTTTAATTTTTAATTTACATTTTTGATAAATTTAAATTTTATCAGAAGTTTAAATTAGCTCATTTTTGTGATGCCCATCATCTCAGAGAAATAAAAATTACAACCAATTTTTTTGTAAAGACAATATGCATGGTTCAGTAGGGTATGAAGCTTGGATACGATGTACCTCCAATTGGACTCACACAAGAAACAGAGTAGGAACTAAGAACCTCCAGTACAGCCAGAATCCCCGGGGGGGGGGGGCGCTACAAAGGGTAGACAGATGACAGCCAGCTTTGAGAAAATCCAAGGAGCTTATCTATGCTGGTCTGACTCCAAGAAGAACCAGAAAAGATTCTTGGAAAGAAGCAATGACAAGCTTGCTATCATAGTATTTGGGATTTAAATAGGCACTCTCCACATGATGAGGAAAATCTAAGATGAGAAATTTGATTCAAAGCTACAGAAATAAGAGAATAAAAAAGAAAACATTCCAAAGGGGCCCACTCCCAGCCAAGGCCTCACAAGGTACCCCAGGCTAACTGGGCCTAGCTCTCTTTTGTAATCTCCTCCCAACTTATAGCTCACTGAAGAAAGAAATCGAGCTGAGGAAGACGTGTTTAGCAGGAGGATTAAGTCCCAGGAGACCCAGACACAGAAGATATGAAAAGAAAGCATAGAAGTGAGCTGTTTAAAATAGAACAGGGCGAGGCTCAAGAGGAAAGCCTTGTCTGTGAGAGGCCCTGGGTTCAGTTCTCAGCACCACACAAAAATGAACAAAATAAAATATTTACTGCAAAAGAAAAATTAAAAAAAAAAAAAACACGAAGCCAAAGAGCAAACGATTTGCTAAGAAAGGTCAACCAGAGTTGATAGAAAACCAAAAACTACTTGGCAATAAACTAACAGTATAACAGTACATAATAACTGATTATGTACTGGCGACCAGAAGATGAATTTGAAAAAGTTAAACAGAATATGGCACAGATATAGAAACAGTGAAATATAACGAAGAAACGGGAAGGGGAAATGAGATGATTCCCTTATAGAAGACAGCAAATGCGGGAGAATCGCATATGCTTAGAGAGGAGGCCGGAAAGAAACGACTTCCCTAGCCAGAAACATGATGTTCGCGGTCCTCTACTAAGGATAGCTCATCCTAAGAGTGTTTTACTTTATAATGATGGGAAAGCCATGTGTGTTCAGTAGATATTGCATCAGAGGTTGAATTCTAATGTCAATGTCTTCCAAGAACAGCACTACAGTCTGCTCCGTTCTGAGGCTGAACAGGTCTCTGTGAACGTCGGCCTCCAGTCAGCAGGAGGCATGTGGCTAAATAACCCATGCTCGTAGGTGAGGTAGGTGTGTTAAAGGCATTGCTCTCATTTCTCAGGACATGCCTTCTAAGCTAAGGAATGCCTCGTGTCCTGAGTAAGGTGAATGCATACATCTATACCTAAACACGGATTTTCTTTAAACAAATAAACTGCAGCTACTCGGGTACTCTACATCAGTATCATCTGACACGAATCTTCGGAAGAAATACGTATAGTATGAGAAACATGACAAGGATGCTATCTCTCCCTGCTCCTAGATAATACTGTGTTGGAAACCTCGGGTAAAATAAGAAATGTGCTGGGCTCCTTCTCCTGTGGCTGTGATAAAAACACTCAGACAGAAGCAGCTTGTGAGTCCAAGGGTTTATCTGGCTCACATTACAGTCTGGGCAAGTCACAGAGAGCAGTCAAGAACAGAAGGCAGTGAATGTATACATGCTATGGTTCAGCTCGGTTCTTCCCCTTTTACACTGCCCAGGATCCCTGCCCAGGGGATGGTACCACCCACAGTTAAGATGGGGTGTCCTGTATCAGTTAATGCAATCTGAACAATGCTTCACAGTAATCTCCACAGCAATGTAATCTATCAGTAATGTAATCTACACAATGTCTCACATGGATGGGTGCCCAAAGATTTGCCTCCTAGGCTTTGAACTGATGGTTAATACTAACCATCACCAATATGAAGAAGAGCAGGATAAGATTTACAAAGAAGAAAAATGTATTATCATTATTACACCCAAAGTATCATTATCTACATAAAATCTCTTTAAGCAACCTGGTTAAGAATATTCTATAAGGTTGCCAATGCAAATCCACCTTCAATCATGTATCACATAATATTTCATCCAATCACAGACCATGGGTACCATAGTGGTCCCATACAATCACATCACCTAATGGCAGCTTAGTTTGGGTATTAATACTTTATGATGTTCATAAAAGGACAAGATCACCTCATAAGATATTTCTCAAACTACGTCTCTGAGGGAGAGCAAAGCAAGAATCTCAAAAAAAAAAAATTTGACTATATCCCAGGAATACGATCCTTAAATTAGAAAAAAAAAATAATCATTTGCAACAAGGGCTAAGGAGATGGCTCAGGTATTAAGAGCACTTGCTGCTCTTGCAGAGGATCGAGGTTCAGTTTCCAGCGCCTACGTGGTGGCTCACAACTGTCTGTCGTTCCACTTCCAGGGGATCCAGCACCCTTTTCTGACCTCCATGGATACCAAGAACACACATGGTACACATACATACATGCAGGCAAAACATCCATTACACATAAAAAAATTTTTAAAAAACTTTTATTGCAATTGTAACAAATGTCCAACAGTACTTAGGAAGGAAGACAACAAAAAGGGCGAAAGACCTCTGAGGAGAAAATGACAGCGCCTACTGAAAAATGAGCAAAACCCAAAGACTAGAGGATGAAACTCACTCTTCAAGGCATTTCTTGCCCAAAATCATCTTCAAAGTCAATGAAATTCCAATAAAAACCTCCACATGATTTCTCAGAGTATCTGATAAATTCATCTTAAAGATCACACAGGAGGGAAAGGGGCAACAATACTTAATCCAAAGCACAACTCGATTATCTTCGGTTTTGCAAAGCTACACAGGACTCATGTTTTAATATTCTTCTGGGTTTTTCTGTGCACAATACTTTAAACAGGTAACTAACTATATTTGTGGGTCAGAAGTCTGCCCACCTCTGACCCAAGTCAGTGCAAAGCAAAAGCATTACGCCTGGAAGACGTTGATAGTAGGATTTGTCGTAGGAGCTATAAAGATTGTCCAAAAGGGGATAAGGCCAAGTGTGAGACTAGCAGAGAAAAGTTAATAACATTACCCATATCTCTACAAGCCAGAACAAATCAGGAGTAAATTTTAAAAGTAGACATAAAACTTGAAAACTGCCCTAATGGAGCAGAAAAATAATATGTGTAAATGCGGAAAATGTTCCTCTTTGTAGTTGAATAAGAATTTATATTTAAAGCATCATGTTTTACAGGGAAAATTCTTCAATAAAATACCAAAAGTTCAAGTCAAAGATAGGGGGAAAAGATAATTTTCACTACATTCTATGGAAAACCTTAATTGTTCATGCTAAGAAGCTATAGGAAAACTTATGAACAACAGATTGGGACAAATTTTCCAAACATGAAACAATAAAAAAAAATTAAATATTTCAGAAGAAAAATGAGATTTAGAAGTAAAACAAGATCGCTTGCAAACAAATGGAGATGCTCAACGTCACCAGTAACTGGGCAGACGAAAATGAAAGCAGCTGTGAAATACAAATTCACAACCATTCAGTTTAGTCCAAATCTCAGTCTGTATCCTGAAGATGCTAAGCGATGTCCGCACTGCCCGTGGAGGTCTTCATATGCGAATATGGGAGGGATCGTTACTATATCTGCTCAGAGGCTAACTGTAGATTTGTCTTGGGAGGCCCAACCATAAGGAAATACAGAGCTACTCTGTGCACAGCCTTGTCTCTGTGTCATGTGCCTTCCTGTTTCCTACATGTTCACTAGTGACTACTAAAGCACTGCCTCCCACCCCCCATGCCCTCTGCAGGTCTGACTACCTTGCTATTCCTTCAGAGAACAAGGAGAACTCCGTGGTGCCCGTGGAGGAATAATGCGGTGTGACTTGAGGTGATGTACAGGGTTTGGGGGGGTGAGGGGGGTGTGGATGCCATGCCATACAAACATCGTCTGGCATCCACAACTGACGTGACATTCAATTTGGTCTTTTCTACTCGGAATAGCAGTCCCGCCCTCTGGGTAATTTAAGTTAATGGTCAAGTCACAATGCCTTCCATTATGTCAAACCTTTCAGAAGCTGAAGAATGTTGGGCAGCCCAATCCCCTTGCTCATGATAACAAAGCCATAACAATTCTCTCATTCCCTCTTTGGTACAAATGTATTTGGGGAGGGCTGAGCTGGACTTTCTCAGTGAGTTCTTCTGTTGTTGCTAGGTGATCTGAGCACTGAGGGAGTTGGATATTCCCAGTGCAGTGATGTCAGCAGCATCAGCAAGGTGCCCCGAGAATCCCAAGCATCCGTCTTTCTATTCGTCAGCCACCCACCCCAACTGTGAGATTTTATCTGACTTCCAAGCTCTGTTGGAACTCTACACATCTTGAATGAACTGAAGAGCCAACATCTTTACATGAACTAAACCTCGCTCTGTCCTTGCTTTCAAGCAAGCAGCTCCCAACTCAACTAAAGTTGTCCCTTATGCTCCAAATGACTTTAGACAAGTACTGGACAGTAGTGTTTCCTCTGCCCCAACTGTCTGCCATTGGGTCGTTCTCCACTGCTACAAAAAGAATGGATATACACCAGAAGGAAGCACCGATTAGTTTGGGTTAAAGCCAAAGCATGTCATACACTTCAATTCACTGACATCAGTTTTTCTTAAGTCCATGGCCTGCTTCTCAGGGCACCAGAAAGCAGCATGCTCCTCCAAGGTTTCTGGAAACATTTTCTGTGGGGACTGGCATGCTTTCTGGAGCTTAGCGTTTCAGGGCTAGATCTTCGTAATCCCAAAGGCCTGGAGCAAACCTGGAACTTCCGAGAAGCCAAGGAAGGATCCAGGGCAATTTCCTTAGGCCTTGAAAGTGATACAACATGCTCCTGATATTGGAAGCATGGATGTGTGTCCTTTCTGGATTGAAATTGCTCAGCTGTTCCCTTCTTAGTGTCTATGGATCAGTATTATTCCTCATTTTACAGGAGGCAGCTGAGACTCACACAGGGATGAACAGAAGCTTTAGGGGATTAAAGATTTCAATGCTACTAACCTCACATTCCCTGGGACGGAAGATGTTTTTGAAGACCCTGACACTCAGCTTGACTATAGCCATGCCACTTGCCCAGCAGAGGCTAACGATCATGGGTTCCAGGAACTGCAAGCCAGGCAAGAGAACACAGAAGGCATGAGAAAGACCTGCAGAGTCTCGCATGAATATGAAGCATCCTTCAGAAGACACAGCACCTGAGGATGATATCTATACAGACGAAAAATGTCTTAGCCTGACATGGAAGATGAACAAAATGACAAAGATAGGTGTGTAGCTTCTAAATACCTCACCTGTAGATCTGTAATGTCTGGTATTTGATGTTTGTGTGCCCCCCGTCCCATTCAGGAGAGCATAGAAAAGGTGAGAAGACCTTATTAGTCGGCATCTCATTAGCTCATTTTAATGACTGTTCTATGTGCAATATTCTTTAGCCTATACAGATAGCAAGGGCAGGAGGCCTTATGGGATATAAAATGACAGAAGTGGGATTCAAGAAGAGAAATGTCCCTCAGATCTGGGGAGATCTCTAAGAAAGACCATTCTCCACTCCCACGGGGGCTTGTATGACAAGCTCGTTCTCACCCCTCCCATCACTGGGGCATACTTGAAACAAGACCCTCATCATATATGAAAAGAGTAATTTTGTTGGAGAAAATATTTGCAATAAATTCAAGACCCTTCTTCTCATCGGCGACTTTTCCACCCCATGCTTCTGAAATAAAAGAGACAACCAAACACCTTTTCCATACTTTACAACTAGAGAAACTGACTTGAATTAATGCAGCATTTATCCAGCCATGGGCTGGTTGGTCCAGACCTTGTGGTGGTAGCAAGCTACTCCCTCCATCCTACTGTCTGCGCGACTATGCATCTAACCCTTGACGAGGTGGTGTGTAACTGCCTTTTCCTCTTTATTTAAATACTTCCTAAACAGAATTCCAACCTAGATATCAGAATTCATAACAAAGCTGAATGGCACCAATCATATGTCCCTTACAAGACAGTTTCTCTTTCCTGTTCCCTTCTCTGAAATGGCAATTTTTCCTCATCCTTGGTACCTGCTTTCTTACACCTGGAGGGCTTGCAAAGCATCCTTCTCTCTCCTCCACAACCACTCCAGTAATATGAATGCTGTTGATGCTCCGTGTTACAATGAAGAAACAGAGGTCTTCTGACATCAAATAGCTTTACTAAATCATCAGGTCACCTAGCCTCCTGTACTCAGAGCTAGGGTCCTAGTTCTCCCTCACCCACCTCACTTGGCTTCCCAATTACACCATCACTGCTTCTTCCCATCTTTCCCTCACTCACTCCTGTCCAGCCCTTTCTTCTCTCCATTGTCCTCTAAGCTTCCTACTCTACAGCTTCTTTACTCCTGCCTTCTTGATGGATGCTAGACACATGCTTTGGGAGTCCATCCCATTTTATCGTTGTCTAGTTTGTTTACATGGTGGTTTATCCAGAATCACAATTGAATTATGGTTCATGATCTTATGGAAGATCATGATGGTAACCTACAAGGTATGGCACTCACTAGCCTACTTCAAATCATCACCATCTCCATTTCTTCCCATATTTTAACTCAGAATCCCAGACTAGATGTGTGCGGCGCTGGAGTGTTGTCTGGTGTGCTATCGCTTACCAAAGGGCTTAGAAGAGCTCTCAAGGGCTATAATCATTTAGAAACCCATTGTTTGTCTTGGTGCTGGGTATTTCCTGTGACTGATCCTCAATCATTTACTGAAGGTCACACTAGGCTGAGTCTGGTTTTCCCTTTCTTGCTGCTTAACAGCTGTGAATTTGACTACTCAACTCAGCTGTCCAGAAGGCATCTTGTCCTATGACTTTTACTGTTGGCTAGATCTCAAATCAAACCCCAGTCCTTGAGGGGAAATACCCAGTGCTTGCTCCAAATGTAGTCCATTTGACAGCATTGTTCTTTGGTCTCTCCACCCTTCGATAAATGTACATGCGAGCTTTCTTTTGAATGTCTGGGGTCGCTCTAGACATCCACTAGAATTATTAGTAAGAAACAGCAGTGGGGTTAAGGAAAAGAGTAGGGCTGAGGAGATAGCTCACTAGGTGATGTGCTTGCCACACAGTCGTGAGGACCTGAGTGCTGTCAGGCATCATGGTACAGTGCACTCTGATGCTCCCTGTGCCGGGGAGGAAGAGACTGGAAGGTCTCTGGGCCTCGCTAACCAGGTCACCTGGCCTGACTAACTCGTTGAGCTCCAGGCAAGTGAGAGAGCCTGTCTCAAAAACCAAAAACACAACAAGGTGGACAATGCCTGAGGAATGACACCCAAAGGTGACTTCTGGCCTCCACATGTGCATGCCCACAAGTTAAGGCCGTATGTGTACATGCGTAAATGTGAACACATACACACACACACACACACACACACACACACGAGGCCAGATCCAGTGGTGCACTCTTGGAAGCAGGAGAATCAGAAGTTCAAGGCTAGTTCAGCTGCATATCGGCATAGTGGAAAGCTAACCTGGGCTACATGAGATCCTGTCTCAAAAAAAAAAAAAGAGCTAAAAGAAAACACACACACCAAAACAAAAAAACAAACAAAAAAAATAGTAGCTCACCCTCTCCACATCACACTACCACCACATGTCAAAACATAAGTATGAACCGAGCACAGTGATGCATGCCTTTTTCAGAATCTGTGAATCTACTGGGCACAAACCACAGGGAAATGTTTGGGATGACACTTTTGCAGGGAGAGGGAAGAGCTAGATACCCCTCAGATGTATCATCAATCTTTTCCCAGTTTCACCAGGAAAAAAAAAACTGTGGTATACACACACACACACACACACACACACACCTACCTTCCTCTCATTTCTGTTTTGTAAATGAGAAAGCCCCAGTTCTGGGAATTCACCCAGTCACTGCAAATGTATCTAAATATGACTTTGGTGTGCTTGCACAACAATCTGATCATCTATTGGCTACATTAATACACCCTGTATCGAATACTAGGTTCAGCTCGCAATAGAACCCAGGATCTTAGGTCTGTAAAAGTGTATGTGTGTGTATGTGTGTGTGTACACACTTGTGCATAGGCCCACAATTCCAGTAAACTCTCTGTTCATGTCAATAAAGTGTCTCTGAAGACCACACGCTCCGGGTCTGCTCTGCTCACAAACGTGCGTCTGCTGCCCACTCTGCCTCTCACCTAGCATGCAATCTGCCCCACTTCCTGCACAGAGGAGACTAACCTTAGGAAATGAAAAGTACTCCAAAGTCTTGAGCTAACCATGCTGGATGTGGGATCTGGCATCACACATTCCCTAACCAGGTGGGGAGATGCCGACTGCAAGGCAGATCTAATGTAGGGAAGACTTGGGGGGGGGGGCTTCCCGTTTAGGGAGGAGCATCAAGGCAACACCATCTTCCAGTACCTAGCTTCCTAACAGGGGCGAGAGCCCCTAAAGAGAAAAGCATAACAAGAAATGTGAGGATTCAGTCCAGCAAAATCGGTTGTGGGGTTTTGTTTAAGGGGAGGCAAAGGTTTCTCTGTGTAATCCTGGCTGTCCTGGAACTTGCTCTATATACCAGGCTGGCCTCAAACTCAGAGATCCACCCGCCTTTCAAGTGCACCACCACACCCAGTTCCACCACAACTCTCAGAATGATATGCTGGTTAAGACTAAAAACATGGCTGGAGAGATGGCTTAGTGGTCAAAGGTGCTTGTGGCTCTTCAGGAGGGCCCCAGTTTAGTTCCCAGTACCCATGTCCTGGTAACTCCAGCTCCTGGAGATCTGATACCCTCTCTTGTCCTCTGAAAGCACCAGTATTCACAAGCACACACAGACATGAACATATATACAGAATTAAAAATCAATCTTTTTAAAATAGGTAAAGACTAAAATTATTGTAGTACAATTCCAGCTCTCATACTAAGTGACATACATGCACTTCTTTATAAAAGACATTATCCCTAAACACTGACGATCGAAATGATAGATGGGACTCATGGCCACACTAATGGTTAAGAGTGACACATGAGTGTGTGCTCAGGTAGGACAGTTAAAACTCTCCTCCTCCATGCCTCCTGGAATACTGAAGGGGTAGAACGAGTGTAGGATCCAGAGGATAGAAATGAGCACCGTCTGATCATTGATCATGACGACACAGCAGTTGTTTAAGGCCTAAGCAGGACTGGGCCATTCATTCTATCGTGGTTGGGGTATCAGCTCATGAGGTCCTACCCCTCTCTGAGGGTCTCCTGAGGAGAGTGAGGAGTTTTCCTCAGTGGTGTAACCCCTAACAAGTTGCTCTGGCTCCAGCAAGCAGCCCTCCTTCCTGTGCTTATATAAACAACCTAATTAAACCCAGTGAGTTACAAAAATACATGAAGGAAGGAGGGGAACAAGCACGGGTAGGAGGGAGATAAGAGAGGGCAATGGGGATGGATACGACCGCAATACACTTTGTAAGCCTGTATGAACGTGTCAGAAATAATAACTAGCATTTACTAAATAAAAAACAAAAACTCAGAAACCTAGCCATTCCATTATTTCAGGCTGTTTCCTTTCCTAAGATGGAGGCTTGTATGTGGGCAACACATGACTTCATGCCTTGCTGTTGAGCCTATCTAGGGACATCATAAACCCTGGGGATGAGGACTCCCGATGGACCAAGCAATAAACACACACAACCATTTATTATTTGTAATTCAATACTTTTTTCCTTTAATTCAGACTGGACTTCCATGGCTCTAGCTACTTTACATTAAGATTTGGCTGGGTAGCCTTGTATGTTTCTAGGGACTAGCAGGAAGTTTTCAGACCTTGCGCACAGCGCCAGGCAAAGTACAGTTATCGATCCCAATACAGACGGCCAGACAACTCAACTGCAAGCAACCCGTGTTCTTTCCCACTTGTGGTCCAGTGCAGGTGCTGGGTGCTGCTCCCTCTACCTCACCCTATTCCACCCCATGTCGGGAATATGCATGGGGCCACTATGGCCTCTGATCCATCCCTCCCCACCTCAGGGTCTAGGTTGAGTGAGGGGAGAAAAAAAGCACCATGGGTTTGGGGGTCTGGTCCATGCAGAGAGTGGTCTGGCCCTAGAGTGCAAGGTGAGGAAATGTGGGGTGCCACACATTCTTGTTGGCAAAAGTGACTGTGCAGTCTTTGCACACAACACAGAAGCCCAGGGCCAACTCCCCAGACGGCCGGATGTCCTGCCTGGAGCAAGGGCCGCCATTTTGCTTCTGAGGTGTCTTATTGTATTGAGAGAAGCAAGGAGGACCAAAGGGCAGAGATGACAATGTCCATTTAGCATTCACATGCTGGGGAGATCGTCTGGCATCAGCAAATCTTGGCAGGTAAGTGCATCTCACCGGCAGCCAAGGCTCCAATCCGGGCTCCCAGGCCTGCTGAGGACCTCCAAGTCACAAGACCCCTGAGCTGTTGCACGGCACATCAGAACAGGTGGCTGGCTGAGCCCATCACAATGGCTGGAGCAGGAGTGAGGTAACAAGGTGGGGCAGAGAGATGGGAGAGGAGGCTCTCTACACCAAGTGCAAATCCCTGACTCACATCAGGAATGCAGGGATGTGGAAAGATGGCCTTCCAGAAAACACTCCTCTGAGACCCAAATGCATCTTCTGGAAGAAGACTCGGAGATGGAAGGGAGTAGGGCCAGCCTGCTGGAGTGAGGCGAGGGCGGAGGGACCAGAGTAGAGAACAGCAAAGGGAAAATGGGACTGATTGCCCCATAGCTTAGAGGCAGGGGTGGGGTTGGGGTGAGGGAGAGAGTCCTGGAGAGGGCAGGCAGAGTCCAGGTGTGTAGGAAGGGCCACCACAGCCCTGCCACCTGGGGGAAGAGAGAAGAGCGCTATTTCTCCTAGGCCCTAGAGAGAAGGGCTGGCTTTGGCTGCCCTGCAGAGCTAAAGGAAGCGGGATGGTATGGCCCAGAAAGGACCCTTCTGGGAGCACAACTGTCCAGAAAGAGTCTTCCCCTAGCCAGTCATGTCCCCAACACCTCATCTTACAGATGGTGCCTATGATAACAGTAGGCCAGTCCCAGCATAGGTGAGGGGCTATGGACAAGGAGAGAATCCACTTGTGGCAAATTTTCCTTGAGGTTTCCCGGTGCTCCCCACTCCTTGATGCCAGGGCCCAAAGGCAAGCCAAGGATTTTAGCAAAAGTTTCCTAATTTATGCAAACCACATCAGGGTTTTGGCTGAGCAAAACACAAGTTCTAGAGCTGGGAATGGCTTCTTCCCATTGTGTCTTCCGTCAGTGAGAAAGGAGTATGAACAGTAGAGAGGATTCACAGTGCCTGGAGATGGAAGATGGACTTGGTCCAAAATGATACACTTCTTGCCGTTATCCTCCTCTAAGCATAAACCAACTCCAAACTAAACCTAGGCCAAAGGAGGAAGGAACATTCTCCTGTGTTAACGCTGAGCAAGGCTATCCCTGCCACTGGGACCCCCCTAGACCTCCTAGTCAAGAGCGAAGCTCACCTGCCCTGGCGGGACAGTTTTCAGAATTGGGAACTCCACATCTCACTAGTCTCTGGTCTAATCTCGGAGTCAAGGTCAAACTTAGACCCCACATTAGAGGTCATTTGCTGATCCTCTTCTGTGACAAGCGGATGGTGAAGCTCGGTGACGGTGACTTAACCAAGGCCGCACAACTTTCCAACAGCACAGTCAAGACTCAAGCCCAGATCTCGCCACTCTTGGTCCAGTGAAAGCACTTGACTGTCTTGCCTACAGATCCATACAGAAAGATCAATACATATCTACAACGGACAAACAGAGAAAACCTGCCAGCTGGAAGAAGGCACCAAAGGCATGCCAGCTTCCATGACCTCCTGCAGACAGCTAGCTATTTGCTGGGCTATCGTCCAGGGCACTTGCTTTGGTTGCTAAAGGGTGAGTTCCCTTCTCTCTCACAAAGTATTGACTAAGGGTGGGGAGGGGGTTGTGTTTGGGAACAAACCCAGTTGTTGGTTTCTTCCTGGTTTAAAAGCCCAAGCTAAGACAAAAGCAACTCACAGGAAAGCTAGTATCCTGGAGGCTATTCCTCACACATATATCATCTGGGTCCATCAGAAAACAGAAGGCTCTCTAGGACCAATCAGGGGTTTTCCTCTCTAAATGATCCTGCGGGCCAAAGAAAAGCAGCTCTCTGTGGTCAGGGCTTCTTCTGTTACTTTACTTGGCTCCTCACCACCCCCAGTGAATACCTTTGAATTCATCTGAATAAGTAAATAACGACAAATGCAATAAATTTGGAGTTTCCAATTTTGTTTTCAAAAAGTTTCTGGGAATACTTTTAGCTTCTGGCTATTCCAAGAGGAAACTGCCTAGCCATTTCAAATGGGACCATTCTCCCTTCTTTGTCTCAGGGCTCGTGGGTCTAGATCATCACCAGCAAAGCCCTCAAAACCCTACTCTAAAGGAACACTGAATGCATTTCTTCACCCCTGCTTTCCCGGAAGAGCGCTAGTGATGCTAGCTAGGCACTGAGCCTTCTTCTCCCGTCATCAGAGGTTGATCCAG